TATTGCCCACCTTCAAAAATGGCGGAGTGGTGCAAAAAGATCACCCATTTTGAGCAAGAGGAAGATGAGACATTGAGGTATGATTGGAAAAGGTACTCTGATTACTTCCTACAATGCCCACATCATGGATTCGAGGAGCAATTCCGGATTGAGAACTTCTATGGTGGTCTCCACCAAGACGACAAGATCCTCATTGACTCCTTATGTCAAGGTAAATTGATGAACATGACTCCACCCCAAGTGACCGAGTTGCTTGAAAACATAACAAGTAAAGGGTATGATTGGGGCTTGACAAGAAGCGAAAAGAGAAGCACCGCAAGGGGAGTGCAAAGTGTAGGAGCGAGTCCCCCGCTTGAAGCCAAGATTGATCGTTTGATTGAGGCACTCTTAGAGGACAAGAAGCATGGGAAGAGGCCGATGATGGCGTGTGGTTGGTGTTCAAGTACCAACCACAAGATTTCTGATTGTAAAATGATGAAGGAATCAAGCACACCCGAAGAGCAAGTGAGTTTCATTGCCAATTATAGTGGGAGCAACCCCTATAGCAACACTTACAGCCAGGGGTGGCAAAACCATTCGAATTTCTCTTTGTCTTCTCCGACCAATCCAAGACCTCCCGGTTTCCAAGGACCAACGAGAAATTATCAACCAAGGCCTACATTCATTCAGCAAAGGCCACAATTAACTCTAACTTCCCACAACCATTTCAAGCTCAAGGAGGTCAAGAGTTCCAACCAGTGTTATCAAAGCCGAGCCGGTCGGACGGACCGGCAAAACCGCCACCCGGATGTCAAACCGGCTCGACACAACTATTTAGCCAGAACGGGTTTTTGGGGCGTTCGGAGAGCAGCCGAGGCGGTTAACCGCTCGGGCCGTAACCGCCTTGGGCCGCTCGAGCCGAACACCCGACTTTCCATTTCGGCCGGTTGGTTCTTAATAAAAAAAATTGAAAACGAGAAGGAAAGTGGAAATGTCGGGCTATCAAACAACCCTAATTCTTCAGTTCATTCTCTTCTTCGCCTTTCGTGCTGACAAAAGAAGCGTCGCTTCCGTCGCCAACACCCATCGCTAGAACCCAGAGGCGACCTCGGCCTCTTCGTCGATTTGCTGATTGGATGCACAACTCGTTGATTGGGCGAGCTCTCCTACCGGAAAACCAAGAGACGACGAGCACCCAACAATCTGCTCGCCCTCTCTGCCCTGTGACGACGACGACCCAACTCTTCGTAATCCTATTGCTGACTCTCCTTCCAGCCGATGCCGACCTCTCTGCCTTGCCCCTTTTCCTTCAAGTTGCACGGAACAGAGCAGGGAATTGAATGAGAAGGAAATCAGAGAGAGAGGGGGGGGGGGGATGAGGCGTGCCGCTAGGGTTGGGAGGGGTGGGGATTCCTTAGTTGTTAAATATATATGTATTGTAAAATTACTAAGTGGCACCTGCAAAATAAAGTTTATTTTAGCCATTGAATTGTTAAGTTTTTACTTTATGTGTGTTGTACTTATTACATTATAGTTTTTAATGTATCGGTTCTCTAACGGTTTTTAACGACCAAATACCGGTTGGACCACTAAAGTGCGAGTCGTTCACATTACCGGGTCATGCTCCGGCTCGGTTCTGACAACATTGGTTCCAACAACCCGATAACTTTGCAAAACTTGAATACCTTGTGACCACCTTTGTGAGCACAAGAACTCAAAAGTTTGAGAAGATTGAGCAATTTATGGATGTGGCAACAACAATTATTTTGGTTGAGGCGGGATTAAGAAGCCATCAAGCAAGCCTTCAAAACTTGGAGGTGCAAATTGGCAATCTTGTCGGGATCCTCACCAAGAGGACAAAGGGACCCCTACCCTCTCAAACCATTGTTAACCCCAAAGACCAAAATGTCGGGTGCAATGCAATTCTTTTGAGGAGTTGCAAGGTTCTCCCGAAGGTTGTTTCTAAGAAAGTGAACGAAGAAGAGAAGAACCCTCCACCGGCCAATGATCCCAATGAAGTGGGAGAAAACGAAGAAGAGCCTAAGAAGGCATTGCCGACGCCACCACAAGTGGCTGAGTACAAGCCTCCTCTTCCTTTCCCCACAAGAATGCACAAGGACCGGTTGGAGGTGAAGTGTGGAGGATTCATGGAGATTCTTAGGAAACTTTGCATCACCATTCCATTCTTGGAGCCCATGGTGCACATGCCAAGTTACGCCAGATACCTCAAGGGGCTTCTCGCCAAGAAGCTGAAATATGAAGACCTTGCAAATGTCACCTTGGGCGAGGAGTGCTCCGCCTTTATCCTCAACAAGTTGCCTAAAAATCAACCGGATCCAAGTAGTTTTACTATCCCCCTTTGCATCGAAAATCATTATATAGAAAAATCCTTGGTGGACTTAGGAGCAAGCATTAATGTGATGCCTTACAAGCTTTTTAAGAAGTTGCATTTGGGTGAATTGAAGCCCACTAGGCTTAGTGTCACGTTGGCCGATCTCTCTGTCATTAGTCCTAGGGGTATTGTGGAGGACGTCCTAGTGAGAGTTGGCAATTTCTATTATCCGATGGATTTTGTTATCCTCGATATCAGTGAAGATGCGGATATGACAAGAGATATCATCATGCTGACACTGTTTTCTACCATCTGTTTCAGCTACCTTGATTTCTAGTATTTCACACAGTTTTTTACTTTCCTCTAGTTTTAGGTCAGTAACTAACTTGTCATCTAGTAACCTCTGATATTTCTCTTGTAGCTCTAGATGATCTCTTTTCAACTTACCATATTTGCTTTTGACATTTCCAAATTCCAGTTGAATTTCTCTAATTGTTTCTATCATCTTATCATTTTTGCTATAATAATCAGAATAATAGTTAGAGGATGTTACCTTAACCACGTCGCTTTCATCCTCACTGTTGTCAATTGCTATGTATACCTCTTGTTTATAATTTGTGTCTGACTCATCATCTTCTTCTTCACCGCAGCTCCAGGTGGCTGCATACGCTTTTTCTTTCTTCAACTGTGGACATTCCGCCTTTATGTTCCCAGCTCGGCCACACTTGAAACACCCTCCCTGAGTCAGTGCTCTTTCAGCATTGTTCTTTCTTCCGCTTGTCTTTGACACCTTTGTTTGATCTTTCTCGGCATCTCCATCTTTTGATTTGTTGACCAGTGCTCCTCTCCTTCTTTCCTTTCTTAACCTGAGTAGCTTAGCCACATGTTAGCTAAGCAGTGCTAGCTCTTCGTCTTCCAACTCATCGAATGTATCGAATTCATCATCATGTGAAATTGCTTTGAAAGCAATTCATTTCCTTTCATTTCTTGAATCTTCCCCTTCTTCTCTTCTGAGCTTCTCCTCGTGGGTTACCAGTGATCCCATCAGCTCATCGAGACTTAGCTTGGTCAAGTCCTTCGAATCTTCGATGGCAGTGACCTTTGGAGTCCATCTTTTAGGTAGTGCCCAGAGAATTTTTCTTACCAAATCGGCACTAGGATAGTCTACTTCCAGGTTTCTGAGACTGTTAACTATGTTCATGAACCTATCGTTCATTTCCTTAATCGATTCGTCTGGCTTCATGACAAATGATTCAAAATCCTGCTTGAGACTATTTATTCTGGAAATTTTGACGTGTGAGGTACCTTCGTGTGCTATCTGCAGCTTGTCCCAGATCTCCTTGGCTGACTTGCAACCAGTCACTCGATGGTACTCATCGGGTCCCTAGGCGCAGTACATCGGGTTGGTCGCCTTGGAATTGAGTTGGAAGTTCTTCTTATCCTGTTCCGACCATTTTCGCCGAGCCTCCTTGACTTCCAGAGGTTCGTCAAGCACGATATTCCACAAGTCTGGGTCTGTTGAGTCGATGAAGAGCTCCATCCGATTTTGCCAATACCCGTAGTTGACACCTTCGAATCTGGGTGGACGTGTCTGCGAGAAACCATCCGCCATGTAGATGTCGTTGTCGTTGCCTGCGCTCGAACTCATTGTCGTCGGAGGTTGTTAAGCCTTGATTCCCGGCGACCGGGCTCTGATACCACTTGTTGGGTGGTCGAGCTCAAGACTTTCTCCTCCCTTCCGATCTCAAACCCTAATTTTTCGTTCTCTGAAACTCAGATTGGGAATGAAAGGTAATTGACAGAGTTAATGGTAACAGGCACAATAATAAAATAAAACAACCAAATTTCTCGTAACAGATGGGCCAAGTTATAAGAACTCGGAATGGGCTTTGTTAGTCAGACAAGCCCACAGAACTGATTCGGGTTTGTTCCTAGTTCCTTCTGATCCAGAGTTTAGAGCTCTGACTCGTGCTCCAGGCAGGTCCCCTGTTCGTCGACGAAACCTTCAAAACAGAGCTTCCAACTCCAAGGCTAGATCAAGTAAAGAAACTTAGAGACACGGTAAGACACGCGGCTTTTTGCGTGGTATCCGGTACTATTTGATTTAGTACCGACTAATCCACGGTCGAAGGTCCTCAATCGAGTCCTTCGACGTTCCACTATGTGTTTGTAATCAAATCACAATTACAGGCAATCTCCTGGCAACTCCCCGTCACCGATCAGACTCTAAATCGGGTTTACTCCCTGCAAACCTACTTTAAGAATACCTACTATTCTACTAGCAATTTCCCCAACTGCTATCCACTTCTCTCTTCTCTCTATCCCGCAACTATGAGCTATTCTTTCGTGATTGCCTTGACAGAGTGTTTTCGAAAAGTATAGTCTACTTGTGGAGCTGTCTGTTTATATCTATCTCCTAGTCGACCGTTGCTCCTTGATCATCTCTCAATCAAGCTGATTCTTCTGTTCAATTTGTAGTAGGCTTTCCTCTTCTGGTGTTACCCATTAACAGCTGGATACTTTTCTTTCTGGGCATATATTGTCTTGCCAACGTTTTTCGCGACATTGACGTGCTTCACACAACATACTCCCCCTAAGCTAGTTAATGGCTCCTGCTGCTGTACTGACTTTTCCTGCATACACTTGGCAAACAATTGGTGCAGTCTGTTCTCACAAAAAGAAACTCAAAGGGAGACTTTTATTTTCATTGCATTCGAGGAAATTACAACACATGACTCAATTGACCAAGTGACTACAGAGCCAACAGACTAACATTGCAAACTCAACCAACAACGACAATACTAACTGACACTACACACTTATTTGACCAAGACTGCTCTCCTTAAGCTAAAGACATCTCTCCTAAAAGGGGTATTTCAGTGGAGACTCATAGTCTGAAATGTCATCATCATTCTCAGAATCCGAGGACATAGGATCAAAGTTCTCTGGAGCAGGCACAGCCTCATCCTCCAGATCACCTTGAGATGCTTGCATAAGTTCCAGCCGTTCCTTGCACACCATCAACCTAATCGAGGTTCTACTCAAGTCATCTTGATCTGTCCCAGAAGTTTTGATTTTCAGAACTTCAGCATCAATAGCCGAAACGGCAGCACTGATCAACGCCGGAACCAGCGCTGGGACCTGATCAAGGGAGGTTTCCTCTGAACTGGCAGGAAAACTACCAGCTCCTCCCCCTAAGCCAGTGACCAGCTTACGATGACCAACATCAACATCCAGAAGAACGAGAATGTGATTCGGTCTCAAATCCTCGAGCACATTGCATAGGGTTACTTTGTCACGTAAGTCGAAGTGCAACCTATATAGGAGGCGCGTGATGAAAGGACCAAATGGCAGATTCCCACTATAGTTTCCATCTCCAAAACGTATCATGTGTCTGAAGACCAGAGATGCAAAACTAATGGGTTGATGAGCTCGTGCGTTCGACAGGATCCAGAGATCCGTCGGGTGGAGCACATCGGAGCTACGCAAGTCACGTGGGAGCCAGCATCTGGTGATAAACCAGTGGAACACTTTTAAATCATCAGGGAGTCGACCGGCGGCCAGATGATGGGGAAAATACCGACCGGTATCATAGGTAAGTTGGGACACAGAGCCTAAGAGGTCGAAACCTAGAGCATGAAACTCCCCATCAAAGCTTGCTTGAAGCCCGGAGTGAGGGAGCGAAAGAACAAACCCAAGAAGATCAGGCGTCACCCTGATTTTGTGATTGTAAACCACGGTAGTGAAGAACAATGGTTCAGGACCAGGCCCCCTCTTGATGTTCACATAGAACATCCTGACTGCTTCAGGACAAAAGCTGAAACGTTGTCTTCTACCAAGGAACTCCAGCCGAGACCATTTAACATGGAAGGGAGATCCATTCCATATTTGTTGAACGCGGAAGGCTGAATGGTAAAGGATGGGTGAATGGGACGATCACGAAAGCTTCGCAAGTACCTGGCATACTCACGACCAGTTCGGAACCCCTGATTGTTAAACTCAACTGCAGAGTGCAGTTGTGGGTTGGTGATCACCATGATTGAGTGTTTGGAGGAATGTTAAGAGACTGAATCGAGGAGAGTTTGGATGAAGAATGAGGGAGGGGTGTCAATCGTCTCATTTTTAAACTGATGGACATAGAGCAATATGGAAGGAGTGAAATTAGAATCCCTAATTGATCGATGAGAACCTCTAGAAAGAAGGAAGGTTGTCATAACTGTTGGTTAATTTAGAAGGTGGGGATGTCGTCATGATTGAACAACCCTAATTCTCTCCTGATTGGAAGGAATTTATCACTGCTAAGAGGTTTAGTGAATATATCAGCCCATTGCATATCAGTCCCTATAAATTCCAGCTGGACCTTCCCTTCCTGAACTAGATCTCTAATAAAGTGGTACCTAATCTCGATATGTTTGGTGCGAGAGTGCTGAATAGGATTTTTTGACATGTTGATTGCACTAGTGTTATCACACATTATAGGAATCGAGTTAGGATGAAGACCATAATCTATGAGTTGAGATTTAAGCCACAAGGCTTGAGAACAACATAAACCAGCAGCCACGTATTTTGCCTCAGCAGTTGACAGTGTTACTGAGCTTTGTTTCTTACTAGCCCACGAAACCAAGGAGGTTCCAAGAAAGTGGCACGTGCCAGACGTGCTTTTACGATCATCAATGCATCCAGCAAAGTCTGCATCGCTATACCCTACTAACTCTAGACTAGAATCCTTGGAATACCACAATCCTAAGAACTGAGTTCCTGAAAGATATATGAATATTCTTTTTACAGCTGACAAATGGCTGGCTCTAGGGGAACTCTGGAAACGAGCACACACACAAACACTGTATAAGATATCTGGGCGGCTAACCGTTAAGTAGAGCAAGGATCCTATCATTCCACGAAACATTCGATCACTGACCTTGACACCAGACTCATCCTTAGTCAATTTTACAGAGGACCCCATGGGGGTAATGGCAGTTTTTAAATTACCTAGTTCAAACCTTTTTAACATATTATTCAAATATTTGGTTTGACTAATGAAAATCCCTTTAGAAGTTTGTTTTACCTGTAACCCCAAGAAATAGCTTAGTTCACCCATCATGCTCATTTCAAAAGTGTTTTTCATGGTGTTTTCAAAGGTCTTACACATTTCAATACTAGTTGACCCAAAGATGATGTCGTCAACGTAGACCTGTACCAGAATAGTGTGTTCTCCTTCGGTTTTAATAAACAATGTCTTGTCCACAGACCCTCTATGAAACCCATCATCAACTAGGAAGGAACTAAGTTTATCATACCAAGCCCTAGGTGCTTGTTTAAGACCATACAAGGCTTTGTTCAATTTATATACATGGTCTGGAAACTGATGATTTTCAAAACCAGGGGGATGGGTTACATATACCTCTTCCTTTAAATCCCCATTTAAAAATGCGCTTTTTACATCCATTTGAAATAGTTTAAATCCTTTAGAAGCTGCATACGCACAGAGAAGTCTTACAGCTTCTAATCTAGCTACAGGGGCAAACGTTTCATCAAAATCTATACCTTCTTCTTGACAGTAAACTTGAACAACTAGTCTGTATTTATTTCGAGTTATATTGCCTATTTCATCTGATTTTTTTTATAGACCCATTTAGTTCCTAAAGGGACTCTGTCCACAGGTTTAGGAACCAAGTCCCACACCTTAATTCTTTCAAACTGCCCTAACTCATCTTGCATAGAAGCATTCCAAAACTCATCAAGCAGGGCTTCCTCAATATTCTTAGGTACAACTAGAGACACAAAAGCAGTATGAGCATATGTAGATTGAGATCTAGTGGTCATACCTTGGTTCAAGTTTCCAATTACTTGAGACACTAGGTGCCTCTTTTGTATGTGGGGTGGTGCTTGCAACTCCTTAGTCTTGTCACCTGTATCAACAGTTGACTCATTGTTTTCTGCTGATTCCATTCTTGCACTGTCCTGAGCTATGGAAATCTAGCTGCCAAGTCCCAGATCGTCTTCATCATCTATGGTAGTTGTACTTACACTCACAGACTCGTCAAATACCACATTAATGGACTCCTCAACTTTGAGGGTCCGTTGATTAAAAATCCTATAAGCTCTACTATGGTTTGAGTATCCTAATAAAATCGATTCATCTGATTTAGAGCCGAACTTCCCTAGCTTATCTTTTGTATTTAGGGTGAAGCACTTGCACCCAAATGGATGAAAGTAGCTCAAGTTGGGTTTTCTTCCTTTCCAAAGTTCATAAGGGGTCTTGTTTAATTTGGATCTAATTAATGTTCTGTTTACAACGTAACAAGTAGTGTTAATGGCTTCTGCCCAGAACTTCTTTGGAACACCATAGTCGTTTAGCATAGTTCTGGCAATATCTATCAGAGTCCTATTTTTTCTTTCCACTACCCGGTTTTGCTGAGAAATGCTGTGAGAAATGCCCGAGTCATTGCAAAAGTTTTCAAATTCATCTGACACAAACTCTCCTCCATGGTCACTCCTAATAGACACTACTCTGGTCTGTTTTTCATTTTCAAGCCGTTTTATTAGCACTTTAAAACTCTGAAATGCATCACTCTTATTAGTCAGAAAAAGTACCCAAGTGAACCTTGAGTAATCATCTACTATCACGAATGCATAAAATTTCCCACCAAGACTTCTTATATTGCTTGGTCCAAACAAATCCAAATGAAGCAATTCCAAGACTTTAGTTGTTGAAATAACTTGTTTACTTTTGAACGTACTTCTGACTTGTTTTCCCTTAGCACATGCTTCACAAAAAAATTCTTTCTTGCAGTGAATTTTGGGAATTCCTGTTACTAAGTCCAGACTTACTAACTTCGAGAGAGTTCCAACTCCTACGTGGCCTAACTTTCTATGCCACTCTAACTGATCATTCTTATCTATTGACACAAGACATGTTTCATTAAACTGACTTTTATCATTTAGGTCTATACAAAACAGTTTTCCCTTCCTTTTTCCAGTAAAAAGTACTTGACCATATAGGATATTTTCAACAAAACAACGGTCAGGTTCAAAAACCACTCCATTAGTATTTCACACATTTGACCAATAGAGAACAGATTGTGTTTTAGACCCTTAACAAACATGACATTCTTTATGGAGGGGTTCGATCCTACTTGACCTTTACCTAAGATATCAGTACTATAGTTATCACCAAAGTAAAATTTACCCTTTTTAATTTTGTGAAGATTTGGGAAGAGATTTTCGTTTCCAGTCATGTGGTGTGAGCAACCGCTATCAAGAATCCATTCACAGTCTTCCATGCCCACTTGGAGACAGACCTGATTAAAGAGATAGCTACTTCAGTTTGGGTATCCAAACAAGTTTGGACAATCCTAGTTTTAATCTTAATTGAGGACAACTCCTTTTTATATGACCTTCTTTGTGACATGTAAAACATGTCTGAGTTTTCATTCTTTCTTCTTTTGCAATTTGCAATGTAATGCCCCTTTTGATGACAATAGAAGCATTCAACTGTGTTTCTGACTTTGATTTTGCTCACTCTAACATTTTGACACGAGATATCATCATGCTAACACTGTTTCTACCATCTGTTTCAGCTACCTTTATTTCCAGTATTTCACACAGTTTTTTACTTTCCTCTAGTTTTAGGTCAGTAACTAACTTGTTATCTAGTAACCTCTGATATTTCTCTTGTAGCTCTAGATGATCTCTTTTCAACTTACCATATTTGCTTTTGACATTTCCAAATTCCAGTTGAATTTCTCTAATTGTTTCTATCATCTGATCATTTTCGCTATAATAATCAGAATAATAGTTAGAGGATGTTACCTTAACCACGTCGCTTTCATCCTCACTGTTTTCAATTGCCATGTATGCCTCTTGTTTATAATTTGTGTCTGACTCATCATCTTCTTCTTCACCGCAGCTCCAGGTGGCTGCATACGCTTTTTCTTTCTTCAACTGTGGACATTCCGCCTTTATGTGCCCAGCTCGGCCACACTTGAAACACCCTCCTTGAGTCAGTGCTCTTTCAGCATTGTTCTTTCTTCCGCTTGTCTTTGACACCTTTGTTTGATCTTTCTCGACATCTCCATCTTTTTATTTGTTGACCAGTGCTCCTCTCCTTCTTTCCTTTCTTAACCTGAGTAGCTTAGCCACATGTTTGCTAAGCAGTGCTAGCTCTTCGTCTTCCAGCTCATCGAATGTATCGAATTCATCATCATGTGAAATTGCTTTGAAAGCAATTCCTTTCCTTTCCTTTCTTGAATCTTCCCCTTCTTCTCTTCTGAGCTTCTCCTCGTGGGTTACCAGTGATCCCATCAGCTCATCGAGACTTAGCTTGGTCAAGTCCTTCGATTCTTCGATGGCAGTGACCTTTGGAGTTCATCTTTTAGGTAGTGCCCAGAGAATTTTTCTTACCAAATCGGCACTAGGATAGTCTACTTCCAATTTTCTGAGACAGTTAACTATGTTCATGAACCTATCGTTCATTTCCTTAATCGATTCGTCTAGCTTCATGACAAACGATTCGAAATCCTGCTTGAGACTATTTATTCTGGAAATTTTGACGTGTGAGGTACCTTCGTGTGCTATCTGCAGCTTGTCCCAGATCTCCTTGGCTGACTTGCAACCAGTCACTCGATGGTACTCATCGGGTCCCAAGGCGCAATACATCAGGTTGGTCTCCTTGGAATTGAGTTGGAAGTTCTTCTTATCCTGTTCCGACCATTTTCCCCGAGCCTCCTTGACTTCCAGCGGTCCGTCGAGCACGATATTCCACAAGTCTAGGTCCGTTGAGCCGATGAAGAGCTCCATCCGATTTCGCCAATACCCGTAGTTGACACCTTCGAATCTGGGTGGACGTGTCTGCGAGAAACCATCTGCCATGTAGATGTCGTTGCCGTTGCCTGCGCT